GTGGACAGAGCTGTTTGCCCTAACACTGACAACACTGACTGACGCTTGCGTTTTGAAGTAAACGGTTTACTAAGTAAACAATAGGTTTACTGTAAACCTATTGTTTTAAATGCCCGAACATGCACCAAAAGCGTTAAAGTCAGTAAGGGAGGATCGGTAAATACGGCTCCCCCGAAAGCCACTTTGTAATTCGAACCCTGCTTATCGGGGTAACTTGTTGGATTTAAGGTACCACAGTTTAAATGGACTTCATATTCGTTCACTTACAGTGTTGGGCATTTCAGGTCCAGAAGCTACAAATCCAGACCAAGATTTCCTTTCTACCAACCAGCTGAGTTCTCTGTGACTGTGACTCTTTATGCTCAACTGGTTGGTAGAAACAAAATCTTGGTCTGGATTTGTAGCTTCTGGACCTGAAATGCCCAACACTGTTCACTTACATTTTGCCCAGACTACCTTAAATACAACAAGTTACAAGCCAATAACCCCGCTTCGTAGTACAGGCCACTGGAGAATGAGGTAACAGTTATTTTATGTCGTCCAACTCCTGTTTCTACAAGGGTTTACGCGGGACCTTAAGTCTTAAAATATCTTATTTTTATAGTTCTTAATGTATTGAGCATGTCTTATGAACATGCTTTTTAATGTTATGTAAACTTTACCTCTATAACAGCGGTGGCCGGTGTGTATGCGGGTGTTTAAGATAACTTGTAGGTCAGCTGTTCAAACCCAGCTGTGAGGACTCTTTAGCCAATCAGTCCTCTAATTAGTGACCTAATTAGGGAGTTGCAGCGAAAACCTGCATACATACTGGCCCTTTGCGGATAAAACTGCCCAACCCTGCTCTATAATGTTGCATTAAATGATGTGAACCTGTGAACTAATTCAGGCAGCCACACTGCATTCACATGGCACTTCCTCTCATTGAAACATAAATCTAGCGCATTAACCATGGCAGCAAGGCAGAGCACTGGTGTTGCTTTGACACCCGGGCCCAAGATGACGGTGCATTTTGCAGGTCCAGAATACAATTTACTGTAGGCTTTGTGTAAGTTTCGCTCAGCGTCATCAAGGAGCTGCATGACCCAGCTACAGACAGCCGTACAGGAAATGTATTTTGTATGGTTATACTGTAACATTATATCTCGCCAAAAAATGTGCTGCAGCTGCACTCAGGGTGCACTGTTATTGTAGCAGGGTATGACATTAAATGCTAAATGTCCTTTTCCTTTTGTTGGTCAGCACCTATTGCTCAGAATATGTGATTCCACATACTTACTATGTTGTGAACACGAGTCAAGCCTAAGTCTCAGACTAACCAAGACAACCCAAGTCACATTTTAAAAATTGAACCATGTGCAAAAATCAAAGCTAAAAAACACACACTGCCATAATGCTTCTTCCATCTAAACTTTACCTCAGTTGATGCCTCTTTGGCTCTTGCACGTTCTTTCCGGCCACCTCCAGTCAGATGCCAGGTTAAACCAGCAGATGGCGTAAGAGTCTATTTCACTATCCGCTACATTGGTACAAGATTGGTTCTTCCTTACAGCTCCTGTTGAGAGAAAACATGCAACATTTCATAAGCATCCCCAATACCCCAAGCCAATAAGGCCCCGATTGAAAGCTCTGGTGTGATGTAAATCAGGAAAGGAAAAAACAGGTATGTCAGTGATTAAAATATTAATTTTAATTGATCAAAATTGGTCACGTGAGGCGTAACTTGAGGAATTACTACAAATGAGGAATTACTACATGCTGTGCCTTTCTGTTTGCAGGGACGGAGTTAGAGGTGTATGGACTCAGGTTGTTTTGCTACATTTGCTCTCCAGAGCTAATTTTTTTGCAATGAGTTGCATTATATTTTACCTGTTGTGTATAATCTAAATAGAAACTCTCAACCATCAATCAACTCAAAGACACGCGTGACCTAATGCTGAAACAAAACATAGCTGCCCAAGAAACATTTAGTCGATTGTCCAATTATTTTTTTCTTGCAATGTTGATATGTTTAAAAGAAACACAGTTAAAACAAATGATTAAAAAAAGTAGTATCTTTGCCCTATGTACCATAAAATAAACAGCCCTGCAGGAAAGGTGTCTAATACCCAGCTTCTGTGTATATACCATACTTACTGATCAACAAACTTCTTGTATGCATTTCTTTAAAGCACTTCTTCCCATTAACTCCTTTCCAGTTTATTTTTTTTGGCTACTGCATCTGAGAAAAGCCTTGAAAGTATGTTCCATGTGACTCGTTTAGTGTTTTGTCCTCCTGTAGCACCCAGAGCAGAAATCTGAAAAGGCAAAAATATATCATATAAAAAGGCAAAGATAAGTATACATACAAACTGTGAAAACCAACTGTAGGAGCTCCTGATCCTGATCAAATCATGTCATACAAACAATTCAGGGTTTATCTGAACGTTAAACCTAATTTATTATTCGGTTTTGCTGTTTTCATTAACTATGTTAATGTTAATCGAAGACAATATTCAGAGATCTGAATATTAGCAGTATATTGACAGCAATGATACAGTTTATATTGTAAAAAGTTACAATACCATGGTTTGCTTAGCATGCGAGTTTCTTGAATCTTTAAGCCACTCCTCCAACTCCTCAACTTCAGACATGGTGGCCAGTGGCACACTGATGTTGGGAGGCATTTCAGCCACAGCAGTGTCTGTCTCCATACGTGCAGTGAGATTACTAATGGCAGCAGCAAGCTGCATCTGCTGTTCCTTGATATGTTCCAACAGTGTTAGGATATGCAGTTGAGCAGCTACAAAGAGTTGGGAAAGTATTTAATTAAAATAGTTGATTTACATATTTTTCATGATGTGGTCACAAGGACAATATTATCTACCAAGTTCTCAATATTTATTATTTTAAACATGGTTTAGTCACAGACTCAGTTTTCAAATTGAAAGAATTTTACCAGAGCAAGGAATAGGTCCAGTGCCTGTCCTCCCCAGTCTAAACCTGGGGTTAAATGAATGGTCCTGATGTTCATCAGAAAGAGGTGTAGCAGAGACCTGGCTCATAGAGCTTGAGGGCATGTGAGAGATGGGGGTGACAACTGCAGGCACTGGAGCTGGAGAGAGGCAAGTAGAATGCATCCAAGTGATCGCTTTGATGAGCAAAGCTTTATAAAGTAATCATAAAAGTATAGTACCTGTGTAACGACCGTGTTCAGAATGTCTAATGGAGAAGTGGTGCAGAGGACTGGAAGGCATGCCAAATGTCGTAATGGGGGCAGGTGGTACAGCTGTGAAAAATGACAATGATTATTTTAAGTTAATAGTAGAAATCCTACTGGAGTACAGTCTGGGGGCTGTTTTTTTTATTCACCTCCACTCTCCTAATGTAATCTGTTTCTCTGAGTTTTCCTACAGTCCCCTGTCTTCCTGACCTGTCTGCCCCCCTGTAATGTTTGTGTATGTATGGTCGGGTTGATGGCCTCCTTTTCGCTGGTACTTGTGACTAGTGACATGGTGAATTGCAACAGCAATAAAGGGAACCAAATCAAATCAAATCAAATAAACACAGCTATATAAAATAATTCACTATCATAGCAGTAAATTAATCAAGTTTCAATGACTGATCTGGCTGAGTTCTGCTAAGCACATGAAATTACAGTAACTATCAGTCCTTCAGAACTAAGCTAACAATAGTTATATTAATGTTTAATAGGTGGATATTAGCATAACCGGTGCTTACAGAATGATTCAACGAAAACAAAGGAACATACTCGTAAAACAAGGATATTCAGTATGCCTCAGGTTTAGCAGAGGTCCAGTAGAGGTCTGGCAAGCTGAATCAGACGGTATGTCAGGAGTAGGTGGAGGAATAGGTGGTGCTGGTGCAGAGGAGATATTGCTGCATCTCCTCTTTTTACCCACTTCTACTTCATTGTCTGAGTCTGTATCACCGAAAACTTGCCTAACAAACAAAACAAATCACAATCAAGCGTAGTTAATTTTTTGGCATGAGTAAAAACAGTCAAAACCGACAGACTCCTTGTATCTGTCTGTGTTCAGTTTGTTTGAACTACATCAATAAACTGCATCAAAATGAGTAAGAATTGCTAAAATTCAACCAGACACTAAACATTCAATTAGTCTACACTATAGATCTTATCAATGAATCCCTGTATCATGACATTTGAAGTTGTGCAGGACTAATAACCACACTACAGACTACCTTTTACTTACATGTAATTATTTGATAATTAGGGAAAATTACTGTAGCAGCACAACATATGGGTTTTGCAAAACCTAGTATGTGCTCTTTGGTTAAATATATCTGCCTAAATATTCTTATATTTTCAAATGTTGCCTATGTCTCACACATCAAACCTTGGCTTTATTTTTCTTTTCCTAATCACTTCTTCCTCGTCATCTGTTTGTAATTCAGACGTGTTACAGGTCAGTGAGGCCCTCAGTTTCTCTCTTGCCTTTCGATAATCACCTGATCAGAATTCACAAAATATCAATAAATGCAAACTCACACATAAGAAATGCTTAAATGTATCATTTTATGCCACAAAATGAAACTGCTTGTGTGCTTAGTGTAATCTGATCCTTTAAGTAATGCTGTTTTCATCCATGCAAACTCCAACATGAAGGCTACAACCTTACCTGCTGTTGTGTCTTACAAAGCACATTATTTACACACTGAGCTCTAGTTGAACTATTATTTTGGTCACTATACTAGCTAAGTAGTTTATTAAACAGAGTACATTTTTAAGATTCCATTTCAGCAATAATTTACACTGCTGTCCTTTTCTTTGAAAAGAAACCAATGCCAAGTTTATGGCAAAAAAAAATAAATAAAATAGTATAAGTGTTCCAACTCAACCAAGTCCTGACTTAAATTTACGTAAATTAAGGAATACATTATTGACATAGTAACAGACATTTGTATAATCCAAGTAAGCAAATCTTGGTAAATCAAGATAATTAGAATTTAATTATGTTCATTATGGAATTACATATTTCAGAACACAGTTGGGTTGAATTGTGTCTCTACAAGAGATCCTTACCAGTTCTTGAGAGGACTCGAACATCATACTGTTTCCAGCCTGTTCCTGGTTCCTCACATTTTTGTACAGCTCTGTTTATGCGTTCATCACTAGTATAATTTGGCCACCAAGTGACACCATCCTCAAACCATGACTCAGCTATAATATTAACAGTCTTGGTTTCCAGAAATTCAACGACTAAATACATCTGAAAAAGAAATTGTTATATATTTAAATACACAATCCATAAAATATTACTACCCCTTTTGACACTTCTGAATCTATGATTAAACCTCAACATTTTCCTTCAATAGTCATTTCATGTCTTTACATTCTGTGATGAATTCTATTACAAGCAGAGTCTGCCTTTTGCTGCAAAACATTCAAAACGCACACACACAAGGAACTGTACAGTGTAATCCAGTGTTACAGTTCATAATTTAATCTTATGGTTAGAAATCTGTTTACCAATTGCTGTCTTTCAGCCACAACAGGGTTACGGTACAGTAAAAGCAACAGATATGGGCTAACAAATAGCACCAGCTTACTCTCACATCAAGACCTTCTCCTGTACTAAAGATATGGTTGGTTGATGAATGTTTGAAGTGCAATTAATATTGATTTTGCATGATATTACCCAGTCCCAGTGTGACATCACATCAACCATAGTGTTTCAACATGATCAACAAGATTTAAACAAGTTCGAAAATGTCTCAAATGGGCTGCAGCAACTAGTTTTGGTACCACTTATTATTACTCAATGGGTATACTCACATTATCAAAATGCACATGTATCCAGAAACTTTTGAGAATAAAACAGTTAACTTTTTGAAGAACTGAAGATTAAGTCAGTTGTCAGTCAACATAAATTTTGTCACCCACTACTCTGCTCCCAAATATTAACTTTCCAAAACTCCACCTATAACCGGGACCTAAAAGGTCCGAGTACTAGAACTGTTGATATGCAAGAGGGGCATGACAACAAACCTCTCTTTATAAGGCAGAAGCACACACTTATGAGAGACCTGTGATGCTTTGGCCACCTTCAATGGCCCTGTAGGTTGAGACACAATAAATATTCTGAGAAAATCAGAGCTCATCGGATAGTTGAAGAAAGTTTCCATCTCTGTAAAAACTTTAAATACTACATATATTCCCTCCACAGACTGAATGATGTTATGTATGACACAAATGTCTCCATCTATAGCAAAAACATTATCACCTATGGAAACTTTCATTGACCATTGCTCAGTCTGCAGCTCCCTGTACTGTGCTGTTGCTTGAAGGCCATCAGGAACAGGTCCAACATAATGTTGCATCCTTAAATTCCTACAGGGCATCTCAATAGTACTGATCTTTTTAACCTCAGATAACCTTCTTATAATTTGTGCAAGGGGAAATTCTGGCTTTCGTACAAACCTCTTCAGTTTACGGAGGTAATTTTCATATGGAAAAGCTGAGACCGAGTCCAAACAACCATGTAGTTGGGCATCTGCAGATAGGTGGACCAATGCATGGATGTTATACACTAAGGCATCCTTGCCATAAAGCTCCCCAAAATGACTTACAAATGTCGTAAGCAATGTGTTTGCATAGTTACAGTACAAGGAGCACAGCTGAGGATGCAAATACCTGTATAAAATAACATGAAATTGTTATATAAATTACTATCTAAATGTGGTACCAGAGCAATAGAGCCAGTATACAACAGAACTTGCTTTCCAACGGTCTATCTCTCTTAGAGACCTTGGCTTCCTTGCAAACTCCACTGGTATATACGTACGCATCTGAACCAGACTTTGAGAAATTCTATCAACGACATTAGAGGATAAGCGAAATTTCAAAGGGCCCCTCAGCCAAACATTTAACAATCTACGTGTGACACCTAAGCATGCAAGGTGCATGTAATCTAGAGGGAATGTAGTTACCATACCAACATCTAGACCAGAAAATCCATGTGGTCCATTGTGGTGATGGTCCTCGTCAACTCTGTCTGAAAATGATGAATCATTGCGCAATACAAAATTATTTATCGGGTATGTCATTCTGTTGTTAACGTAAACGCCTGGCTGGCAACACTTGTCACATCCATGATATGCATTGTGAGCTTTTGTGTTTTTTACAAATGCTCTAGCAGGGGTATCACATACAACTGAAGCCAGTTCAATGAAGACCTTTTTCCCTCTAAAATTAAATCCTTCCTGCAGCTGCTTTAGCTCATGGGTCAAATCACTTAAAAATTCATCAGGGGCATTTGGTTTTTTTGTACCACAAAAAAGGCCAATAACAATGGGTTCCTTCATTGGGACACTTAACAAAAGTCCTAAAATGGGCCATAACTGTATATTTCTGCTCTTGAACAATGGCAAGCCATCAATATTTATCTGTAATCTAAAAGTAAAGCCATCTGCAACATTCTGAATTAGTTGGGTTAGTGTGCCATGCAGTGCTGTCAAGATACCTCTATAATGATACAAACCACCACATTTTTGTTGGATTTTATATTCAGTGTTTGTTTGAAGGATGGTTCGAGCATCCTTGGGCAGTTCTGGGTGGTACACTCTCAACAAACTAAGGAGGGCTGTGAGTGCTACTAAAGAAACTCCAAACTGTACAGACCAATTGGCTAAGCTTGCAACAAGGCTGACTGGCTTATCAACAAACTGAGACTCTGACTCAGAATCAGACTCTGAAGCATATAGTCTCTCTGCCTCTCCTCGAATATCATCTGTGCAAAGTGCATCTAAATGGTCATCTATCGGAGAGAGACTTGAGTCACTGCAGCTATCAGTGTCATTGGTGGTGAAATGAGAGTCAGCTCTGTCAGCTGTTGTTTGCTCTGATTCTATCAGACAGTCTTCTGCAATGTCATGCAGTCGTTTTTCTAAAGAAATTCGAGCCCTCCGCCTGACTCCAGAGCTTGTTAATGGAGGTTCTCTCCTTTTCATTGTCTCTAAAAAGATTTAAGAAAAACAGCTTTACAGTGCATATATAGTATTATGCTGCCACTAGCCAGTATAATTTAGCTATAATTTGAAAACCCAAGTGTGCAATTTTTTTTCTGAGCACAAACTTCGGTGCAGGGGTGTACAAGATTGAAATACAAGTGTGCGAATCTCTGCGCAGGTGTACAAAGCTAAGTGCTCAAATCAGATATTTCACACCACCACAGAAATCTGTCATAATAATCAATGCATATAGCTTACCGTAACTTAAGGTATATAAGCAAATGAACTTACTGAACTTCATTAACGTTTAAACGTTTTTCCCCTAATTTGTATAATTATCAGACAACAGTTTTACACGGTGATATTTCTATTATTTCCAGACAGCTAGAATTATAGAAGAATAAAAAACACTTACCCTTGAATATGTGGCCGAACCTAAAATGGAGACAGAATATGCCATTGAATGTCAAATGTTTCTGCACATTTTCTCGATTAATCTACTAAATTCACCTGAAGAATACAATTAATTAAAATAAAAACATATTTCAGGGTATTATAACTCTCATTATTGCCTTTTATTACCCGACCCACGCTTTTATTAACCGACCCACGCTTATTTTAGTACGAGCTATAGCTAACACAGACTCAGTTGCCAGCTAGCAAACTAGTTATAAGTCCAAACATTTTAAGATTAACTTAACAATTAACAGCCCACCAAAATCAAAAAGGTACTAATTTACTTCTAGCACAGTTTGACCGCACTATGTGATTAAATTGCACGTACCTCAATAAAGCGGCTTCCTAGAACTTTATCTGCACGCTCCGGTGATCCTGTCAGAAAATGAAAATTCGCGCGCTCGTCCCCCGGATCCGGCCCGTAGCTGCTTTGATTCTGCTGACATTATTGCGTTCCCGCCACGGAAGCCTGGGCCTGGGCCCGGGCCATGTCCGTATCGCAGCTGTAAAACGGATGTGACTGTAACGCGGATCTGCCGGACTAGAGGCGGATCCGGATCGGAGTCAGCTGCTGTCTGGTATATAGCTGGCCGTAGCTACGGCCATTAGCAACGCCCAAACAATGCCCAAATTTGGCCCGTTTTGGTCTGACTGCTATAACTTGGCCGTGCCTTGGCCTACCTCGACCAAATTTGAAATCCTAACTCCCGACACCATTCTGGGGACACGGTCCAAGGCGGGCCGCATTTCGTCCATAGGGGGCGCTACAACTAAAAACTGCCAAAATCTCCTGACTACCTTGGCGAATCCAACTGAAATTTGGCACATATGTTCTAGGTCCCAGCCTGAGATCAGTCACCTACAATGGCAATCATAAGTCCTAAAAGAGTGGCCACAATCAGCCAATCAAATTCAAGCAGCCATTTGACAGGCTTATCGATTACCAATCCAAACCAAATTGTGATGGCATATTTGTCCTCTGACCCTCAGCCCTCCTTGTAAAGGACACCTCAGTAGGCCAAATGGTGGCGTAATAGCGCCCCCATCTGCATTTCTGCCTATTTCTCCAGAACTGCCAAGCCTACAGTTGAAATTTATTGCCAGTTCAATTGACTATGTCCTGATGAATTCAACTGCATATAGAACTTGGTTCTACATCTTTGTGTTTTTGCATGATTTATATTTGTCTGAAAACAGGTCATTTTGTTAATCTCCTAGGATTTTCGCCCAACCTACTTAAATCTGGTGTCAATTAAATCAGGAGACAGTCCTGTTAAAGATTTAGAGAAAAAACTGACTGTACTGGTGCCTCNCTGGGCCCGGGCCATGTCCGTATCGCAGCTGTAAAACGGATGTGACTGTAACGCGGATCTGCCGGACTAGAGGCGGATCCGGATCGGAGTCAGCTGCTGTCTGGTATATAGCTGGCCGTAGCTACGGCCATTAGCAACGCCCAAACAATGCCCAAATTTGGCCCGTTTTGGTCTGACTGCTATAACTTGGCCGTGCCTTGGCCTACCTCGACCAAATTTGAAATCCTAACTCCCGACACCATTCTGGGGACACGGTCCAAGGCGGGCCGCATTTCGTCCATAGGGGGCGCTACAACTAAAAACTGCCAAAATCTCCTGACTACCTTGGCGAATCCAACTGAAATTTGGCACATATGTTCTAGGTCCCAGCCTGAGATCAATCACCTACAATGGCAATCATAAGTCCTAAAAGAGTGGCCACAATCAGCCAATCAAATTCAAGCAGCCATTTGACAGGCTTATCGATTACCAATCCAAACCAAATTGTGATGGCATATTTGTCCTCTGACCCTCAGCCCTCCTTGTAAAGGACACCTCAGTAGGCCAAATGGTGGCGTAATAGCGCCCCCATCTGCATTTCTGCCTATTTCTCCAGAACTGCCAAGCCTACAGTTGAAATTTATTGCCAGTCCAATTGACTATGTCCTGATGAATTCAACTGCATATAGAACTTGGTTCTACATCTTTGTGTTTTTGCATGATTTATATTTGTCTGAAAACAGGTCATTTTGTTAACCTCCTAGGATTTTCGCCCAACCTACTTAAATCTGGTGTCAATTAAATCAGGAGACAGTCCTGTTAAAGATTTAGAGAAAAAACTGACTGTACTGGTGCCTC